GGCAGAGCGCCCAGGCCCGACTCCCAAGAGGCAGGCCCAGGGCCCTGGGGGATGCTCCTGAGCCAGGGGCAGCCAGGGAGGCCCTGATGCCTCCCTTGGACCAACTGTAGCTGCCACAGGTAGTGGGATCCCAGGAGTGGGCAGGGGCGGGCTGACTTGGCATGGACCATGGGCCCCGGTGTCCCCTTGTTGTCCCTGCATTTCCACTAGCAGGGGCATTCCAGAGGCAGGGACCTTCAGGCTGTGGACTATTGCCCACCCTGTTAGAGCTTGGTCACAGATGCATGAACTTAGAGCAAGGATGCAGATGCAAATCTGTATGCAATGTGTGACAACGGCTTTGGGAAAAAGGGGCCTGCTCCTCTGAGGGAGAGGGGCAGGCACAGCAGGAGGACGGGGTGCTGCTCTCTGCAGGACTCTGAGACTCTTCGTCTGTCTCCAGGTCTGCATTTTTTTAAGCAGGCATCTAGTATTTCCATCAATAAGGTCTTTTTAAAAACCAAGCAAAACGGCCGGGCACGGTGGCTCAAGCCTGTAATCCCAGCACTTTGGGAGGCCGAGACGGGCGGATCACGAGGTCAGGAGATCGAGACCATCCTGGCTAACACGGTGAAACCCCGTCTCTACTAAAAATACAAAAAACTAGCCGGGCGAGGTGGCGGGCGCCTGTAGTCCCAGCTACTCCGGAGGCTGAGGCAGGAGAATGGCGTAAACCCGGGAGGCGGAGCTTGCAGTGAGCTGAGATCCGGCCACTGCAGTCCAGCCCGGGCTACAGAGCAAGACTCCGTCTCAAAAAAAAAAAAAAAAAAAAACCAAGCAAAACATACTTAGAGGATTTCAGGGTTGAAAAAGACCTAAGCCTTATTTTCTGGCTTCCTGCATATTTGCTATTTTGGGCACCTAAATTAACACACAACACACACGCATGCCTACCAACACAGACCTAATACAAGTTTTGTTTTTTGTTTTTGTCTCTTTTCGAGACACAGTAGCTGGGACTACAGGTGCATGCCACCACGCCTGGCTAATTTTTTTTTTTTGTAGAGATGGGGTCTCACGATGTTGCCCAGGTTGGTTTCAAACTCCTGGGCTCAACCCTCCTGCCTAGGCTTCCCACAGTGCTAGGATTACAGGTATGAGCTGCTAGCCTGGCTCTTAATGAACTTTTTGAAAGAGGAGTAACGAGAATTTGCTTTCTCTTTCTCTTCTTTACCTAAGATAGAAAGGCATACATAGATTCTCAAAGCCTTTGCCCTTTATGAATCTAGAGAGAATAGTGGAAACCCCTGGAAATGCTGTCCCGTGGAGAATGGAGCAGCAGCCTCACTTGTTGATCACCAGCAAGAGCTGGGGACAGCTGCTTGCCCCGTGCCAAGACCTGGTCCCTCCACAGGACATGCCTGGTCTTCCTGGGTCCTGTTCCTTTGTCAGCACTGTCCTGCAGCTCCATCTTCACAGGATGCTTTTGTAACTGCTATGATCAGTCCTGACCTGGCCACCTGTGTGTCTCCCCAACCTTGTCTCCAGGATGTGTCCCGCTGCCTGCCCCATGGGAAGAACAGAGAAATCATCATCACCTCAGGCCCTACAGCGCCATGGGCTCAGGCAGCACAGCAGGGTGCCAGGCCTTTGGGCCAGTGTTCCAGCTTCTCCTGGGGTTCACCCCTGGCTGCCATGTCGCCAAGGATGGGCAGGGGTCTCTTTGCATCCCGCCAGGCAAAAGACAGGCCCTGCCTGGCTGTGGTCACTGGCCGCCAAGATCAGGGCCACAGATGTCTACTCTCCAGACCCCATGTGATCTGGCCACTGGGGATCCCCACCCAACCCCACTCCCAATGATGAGGGGTGTTTTCGTTACAAGTCAAAGGCAAGACAGGCTTCCATAAAGTCCCAGGAGGTTCCTCCTGCAAGGTACAAGGCCAGGCTGCCTCCCAGCCCCCAGGCCCTCTCCCACCTACAAAGACCCTCCTCTGCCCCTCCACTCCGGGACATGTGCACCCAGAACGGGCCTCTGCCCCATACTCTGCCCTCGCCTCCACTGTGGCTGCCTAGCTGTCAAGAGCAAAGGCTTTTTTTTCCTTCAACCCCATTTTCTTCCATTTCCCCCACCTTTTTAATGCCAGTAACCTCATTGAGAATGTTTTACAGTGATGGAAAATAAACTCTGTTCCAAGTTCAACTCTGTGAATTACTGTGTCTGTCAAGGCAAGGGGAGTGAGGCAGGAAGTCAGACTTGGGTCCAAAGATGGCTCTGCCACCTGGGCAAGGTTTTCATGCTTCCAGTGACCCGGTTCCTCCACCCACAGAAGGAGAATCATGGCCGGGCGCAGTGGCTCACGCCTGTAATCCTAGCACTTTGGGAGGCCGAGGTGGGTGGATCATGAGGTCAGGAGTTCAAGACCAGCCTGACCAACAAGGAGAAACCCCCGTCTCTACTAAAATACAAAAATTAGCAGGGCGTAGTGGTGCACACCTGTAATCCCAGCTACTTAGGAGGCAGAAGCAGGAGAATCACTTGAACCTGGGAGGTGGAGGTTGTGGTGAGCTGAGATCGTGCCATTGCACTGCAGCCTGGGTAATGAAGCCAGACTCCGTCTCAAAACAAAACAAAAGGGAGAATCATGGGAGTCCCCCCACTGGACTGCATGAGATAACATCACAGCACACGCAGGCACCTGGGACTCACAGCTCCTGCAAAACTGCCCCATCACGTCAGCGCTAAGGATGACACCCATGAGATGGGGGCAAGCAGCAGGCAGGAACCCACTGAGCCAGCGGGAGGTTACAGCCTCGGCATGGGGAGAGAAGTGGGCAGACACCAACCACACTTCCCCCCAGGCCGCAACCTCCAGCACAGGCCTGGATATGAGAGAGAGGGGCCTGGGGGCTCAGGCTGTGCTGGGAAGACGGGTATCAGCAATGCTGGGTGCTTTGCTAGCTCCTGGAGGGTGGCCTGGCCATATCTGGCTGGGTACCTTATGCCCCATGAGAGATCCCAGAGCTGGTCTCTAAGGTAAAAGCCGTCCCTCAACCAGGCAGCCCCATTCTGCAGACACAGGACAGAGCACAGAGAGGCCAGAAACACTGACTTAAAAAAAAAAATTATTTTATCTGAGACAGGGTCTCACTCTGTCGTCCAGGGTGAGTGCAGTGGTGCACTTACAGCTCACTGCAGCCTCGACTTCCTGGGCTCAAGTGATCCTCCAGCCTCAGCCTCCCAAGTAGCTGGGACTACAGGCACACCCCATTATGCCTGGCTAATTTTTTTGTGTGTAGAGTCTCGTTCTGTCACCAGGCTGGAGTGCAGTGGTGCAATCTTGGCTCACTGCAACCTCTGCCTCCCTGGTTCAAGTGATTCTCTTGCCTCAGCCTCCCGAGTAGCTGGGACTATAGGCACGCACCACCATGCCCAGAAAATTTTCCTATTTTTAGTAGAGATGGGGTTTCCCCATGTTAGCCAGGATGGTCTCAATCCCCTGACCTCATGATCCACCCGCCTCGGCCTCCCAAAGTGCTGGGATTACAGGCGCCAGCCACTGAGCCTGGCTTTTTTTCTTTTTGGTAGAGACAAGGTCTTTCTATGTTGCCCAGGCTGCTCTTGAACTCCTGGGCTCGAGCAATCCACCCACCTTGGCCTCCCAAAGTGCTGGGATTATAGGCGGGGGCACTGTGCCCGGCCTCTTACACTAAATACTGTCAGTTAAGGGAATGAGGAAAGGGCAGGTCACGCACCTGGAACCTGGGCTGTGTCGAAAGGTCAAATGTCCACATATACACAGTGACTAGGTGACCAATGGAACGGAGCATCCCAGGCTGGGATGAGGGCCAAGGCCACCTACCCATGAGGAACAACCACTGCCTAGCTAGAAAATTCCAGAACCCAGTGGTTTCCACAGCTGCCCTACGACTTCCGAGATGACTAAACCCACCAAGGGCTCTATCACACTGCTCGTCTCGGCCACTCACCTACCGCGGATGTGTACAGACCAGCAGTTCCCACACAGCACAGGCCAGACAAAAGCTGGAAGGTGAAGGCTTCTTACCTTAAAAAGACAGGCCGGGCGCAGTGGCTCACGCCTGTAATCCTAGCACTTTGGGAGGCCGAGACGGGCGGATCACGAGGTCAGGAGATCGAGACCATCCTGGCTAGCACGGTGAAACCCCGTCTCTACTAAAAAATACAAAAAACTAGCCGGGTGAGGTGGCGGGCGCCTGTAGTCCCAGCTACTAGGGAGGCTGAGGCAGGAGAATGGCGTAAACCTGGGAGGCGGAGCTTGCTGTGAGCCGAGACCGCGCCACTGCACTCCAGCCTGGGTGACAGAGCGAGACTCCGTCTCAAAAAAAAAAAAAAAGGCCGGGCGCGGTGGCTCACGCCTGTAATCCCAGCACTTTGGGAGGCCGAGGCGGGCGGATCACAAGGTCAGGAGATCAAGACCACGGTGAAACCCCGTCTCTACTAAAAAAAATACAAAAATGAGCCGGGCGCGGTGGCGGGTGCCTGTAGTCCCAGCTACTCGGGAGGCTGAGGCCGGAGAATGGTGTGAACCCAGGAGGCGGAGCTTTCAGTGAGCCAGGATCGCGCCACTGCACTCCAGCCTGGGCGACAGAGCGAGACTCCGTCTCAAAAAAAAAAAAAAAAAAAAAAAGACAAAGTGGGACGACCACAGAAGGCCACATCCCAGACACTAAGGGGCGAGGAGCAAAGGTAGCCCTGGGTCCCCGCCCTGGGGAGGTGTCAGGCCTGTCACATCCCTGGCGACAGGTCAGGAACATGGAACTCAGGGGTCCCTTCCTGCCCCAGGTGTCTTCCACCCTGCAGAGCAGCTATGAATCTGCAAAGGGGACTGGAATGCTGGAAAGCCCCAGGCTCCATTTGGAAACTCTGGCAGGATGAAGAAGCTGGAGACCATGTCCTGGGAAGGCTGGGGTGCAGCAGGGATCCCTGCAGCAGACTAGAGAGGGGCCCTTCAAATTCATGCCCACTCAGACATGTGACCTTGTTTGGAAACACGGGTTTTGACTATTTAATTAGTTAAGATGAGGTCACAGTGGATTGGGGGACCCTAAACCCAGGAAGTGGTGGCCCTACCAAAAAAGAGACTGGGCATGGCAGCGCACACCTGCAACCCCAGCTACTCAGGAGGCTGAGGCAGGAAGATCGCTTGAGACCAGGGGTTCGAGGCTGCAGTGAGCTATGATCATGGCACTGTACTCCTGCCTGGGGGACAGAGCAAGGCCCTGTCTCAAAAAAAAAAAAAAGGCGGGGGACGTCGGGTGGGTGGGGAGGGACACACAGAGATGGCACACAGGGTCACAGACACACAGGGGAGGGGTAGGGACGCGGTGATGAGGCTGTACACCAGCAGCCACTGGATGCTGGAGGCAGCTGATGGACCCTCCCGGGCCCTTCAGGAACACCTTGGGTGTGGGCTTCTGGCCTCCTGAGTGCGTCTCTGTGGCTGAAGCCCCTGCTCTGTGTCGCCTGTTCTGGCTGCCACTGGACACTCAACAGAGCCTGTCCTTGCCCTTGCTCTGCACCCAGTGCCCAGCTTCCTCCACGGCCCGGGCATCCCAAATGTCCCCTGATGGCCTCACACTGGGCCATGGAAGGAAACAGGCAGCTGGCAATGCTTCTGGACCAGGCTCTCTGGCAGCTTCCTGAATGCTGTGCCCAGGGACGAGAGTCTGGGAAAGGGAGTTTCAGGCATGGTGATCAGGCCTTGGCCCCGGGGCCTCCAGGAGCCACCGGCTGGAGCGTCAGCAAAGAGCCTGCCCTCGTATGGGTCCGCTGGTGCTTGTGCAGGTCGGTGCCCCGGCGGAAGCCCCTGCCACAGGCCGGGCAGGTGTAGGGCTTCTCACCTGTGTGCGTCCGGCGGTGCGCGCTGAAGTGGGAGCTGTTGTTGAAGCGCTTCCCGCACTGGGTGCAGGCATAGGGCCGCTCCCCGCTGTGCGTCCTGCGGTGGATGACCAGGCTGGAGCTCTGGCTGAAGCGCTTCCCGCACTCGGGGCATGGGTAGGGCTTCTCGCCCGTGTGCACCCTCTGGTGCGTGCTGAAGTTGGAGCGGTCGCTAAAGCCCTTCCCACAGACCAGGCACTTGTAAGGCCGCTCGCCCGTGTGTGTGCGCTGGTGCTTGGTCAAGTGAGACGTCTTGCTGAAGCCTTTGCCACATTCGGGGCAGGTGTATGGCTTGTCAGTCCCATGGGAAGCCCCTCTTCCTGGTGGGGGGCCGCCTCTTGGCTGCTCAGGCCTGACCAAGCCCCTGACTGGGGCTGGCCTCTGACCTGGGAGTGGGTGGCCAGGCCCCTGGCATCGCGCTGACAGCACTCGGTACCACTCCATTCTCACTGGGGCATCCTCCCTGCCATCACCGCCGTCCTCTAACTGGATCCCAAGTCCTGAGACAGAGAAAACACGATCTCTAAGAATTAATGGCAAGAGGGCAAGGGAAATGCTTCTAATAGGAAGATGAAGGCCTCACAGGGCTCCTAAAGTTCCCCTACAAAACATTTAGCAGGGGCTGGGCACCATGGCTCACGCCTGTAATCCCAGCACTTTGGGAGGCTGAGGTGGCAGGATTGCTTGAGCCCAGAAGTTCAAGACCAGCTTGGGCAACACAGTGAGATCTCGTCTTTACAGAAAATAAACAAAACTAGCTGGGCATGGTGGCGTGTGCCTGTAGTCCTAGCTACTCAGCAGGCTGAGGTAAGAGGATCACTTGAGTCCAGGAGGTCGAGGCTGCAGTGAGCTGTGATCGCACCACTGCATTCCAGCCCGGGTGACAGAGTGAGACCCTGTTTCAAAAACTAAGCAATCAATAAAACAAACAAACAGGAATTCATTTGACCATCACAATAACCCAGTGGGTCAGTGCTGTTACCTGGGGAAACTGGGGCACAAAAGTGTTAAGGAACTTACCCAGAATCACAGGGCTGGTAAGTTACAGAGCAAGGGCCATCAAACTCTGGACTCTGCTGTACCCTCTAAGCCAGGGGTTCCCACCCAGTGGCAAGGTCTGGAGATGTTTTTGTTGTGTCTGGGGAGGGGGTTGTAAATGGCCTCTAGTGGACAGGGGCCAGGGCTGCTGGAAAACCTGCCCAGCACAGACAGCCCCACGTGGAGAGCCATCTGGAACGAACGCCAGCAGCAGCGAGGTGGAGAAGCCTGCTCTGGGCTGTTCTGGCTGAGCAGAGAAGTCATGGGTCCCAGCCACTGGACCTCCCTTGTACTTGGTGCAGCCCCTGAGGCCCCTCTGCACATCCAGGTTCTAGAGCCACCACCGTCAGGACAGGAGAACAGGAGGAGGGGTCTGGAATGATCCAGGCTTTGCCCCTTCCAGGACTTGACTTCTCTGCTTCTCCTCTGCAGCATGAGGGTGACTGCAGCTGGGGACCTGGTAGTGCAAAGTGCACCAGGGTGCCTGGGGGGCTGGGGGAGCAGCCGTCTTCATAGCAGTCCCAAAAGGCTCTGTGCATGGTAGGCACACGCTGACCTCACAGGGGAGGGACAGAACCACCCACTGCCCTTGGAAACGTCCACTTTAAGAAGCTTCCAGCCCCAGACGTCCTGGGCGAACCCTTCTTGCCCTCCCCTCCCATCTCCAGGCCTAACTTCCAGACAGCCTAAGATGGGTTTGGCACTTACTGAGCCTCAAATTCCACATCTATAAAACTGAGAGGAGGCCGGGCATGGTGGCTCATGCCTGTAATCCTAGCACTTTGGGAGGCCGAGGCAGGCGGATCACTTGAGGTCAGGAGTTCGAGACCAGCCTAGCCAACATGGTGAAACCCCATCTCTACTAAAAATACGAAAATTAGCTGGGCGTGGTGGTGGGTGCCTGTGCTTGTAATCCCAGCTACTCGGGAGGCTGAGGCAGGAGAATCGCTTGAACTCAGGAGGCAGAAGTTGCAATGAGCCAAGATCATGCCACTGCAGTCCAGTGTGGGTGACAGGGTGAGACTCTGTCTCAAAAAAAAAAAAAAAAAGAAAAAGAAAATAAATAAAACTGAGAGGAGGATTGGAATCACCTCATTGGCCTGTTACAATAATATTTTATTTATTTATTTTAGAGATAGGATGATATGGTTTCAATCTATGTCCTCACCCAAATCTCATGTCAGACTGTAATCCCCAACGTGGAGGTGGGGCCTGGTGGAAGGTGAGTGGATCATGGAGGCAGATTTCTCATGAATGGTTTGGCACCATCCTCTTAGTACTGTCCCGGCAATAGTGAGTGAGTTCTCATGAGATCTGGCACCTCCTCTCCCTCCCCTGCTCCTGCTCCAGCCATGTGAGATATGCCTGCTCCCCGTCTGCCTTACACCATGACTGGAAGCTTCCTGAGGCCTCCCCAAAGGCTGGGCAGACACCATCATGCTTCCTGTACAGCCAATTAAACCTTTTTTCTTTATAAATTACCAGGTCTCTGGTATTTCTTTACAGCAATGTGAGAATGACCTAATACACAGGGCCTCACTATATAGCCCAGGTTGGTCTCTAACTCCTGACCTCAAGGGATCCTCCCACCTCCACCTCCCAAAGTGCTGAGATTATACGTGGGAGCCACAGTGCCCGGCTTTGTTGTAAAAATATTTTTGTTTATTTATTTTTGTTTTTTTTTCTTTGAGATGGAGTCTCGCTCTGTCTTCCAGGCTGGAATGCAGTGGTGCGATCTCAGCTCACTGTAACCTCTGCCTCCTAGGTTCAAGCGATTCTCCCACCTCAGGCTCCCAAGTAGCTGGGATTACAGGCATGAGCCACCACGCCCGGCCAATTTTTGTATTTTTAGTAGAGACAGGGTTTCACCACGTTGGCCAGGCTGGTCTCGAACTCCTGACCTCAGGTGATCCCCCCGCGTTGGCCTCCCAAAGTGCTGGGATCACAGGGGTGAGCAACCGTGCCTGGCTGCAAAAATATTTTTAAAAGAGACTCGCCGGGCGCGGTGGCTCACGCCTGTAATCCCAGCACTTTGGGAGGCCGAGATGGGCGGATCATGAGGTCAGGAGATCGAGACCATCCTGGCTAACACAGTGAAACCCTGCCTCTACTAAAATACAAAAAAAAAAAAAAAAAAAAATTAGCTGGGCGTGGTGGCGGGCGCCTGTAGTCCCGGCTACTCGGGAGGCTGAGGCAGGAGAATGGCATGAACCCAGGAGGCGGAGCTTGCAGTGAGCCGAGATCGCACCTGCACTCCAGCCTGGGCGACAGAGCGAGACTCCATCTCAAAAAAAAAAAAAAAAGAAAAGAAAAGAAAAAAACCCCTGAAATAACAACCGTTGGTGTGCATGTGGAAAAACCAGAACGCCTGGGCACTCTTGGTGGGTACATGAGATGGTAGAGATGCTGTGGAAAACAGCATGGCAGTTCCTCAAAAAATTCAACACAGAATGATCATATATGCTCCAGCCATCCCACTGCTGGATACATCCACCCCAGGAACTGAAAACAGAGCTGATCAGAGATACACCTGTATACCCACATTCACTGCAGCATTATTCACAATGGAATATTCTTCAGCCTTAAAAAGGAAGAAAATTCTGGAGGTTTCCCAAAGCAGGAAGTCTGCCTCAAGACCATGGCACAGAAATCCTAAGCTTCCAGCCTGCTGGCCTCGCCTGCAAATTTCAAACTTGTCAACTTCTGTAAGCAACCAAGGGAGCTGTCTGAGTACCCACTCCTTAAAATAAATCTGTGTATGTGTGTATCTTCTATTGGTTCTGTTTCTCTGGAGAAGAACCCTAATACAAAGTGACATCTCACTGTCATTAGAAAAGGCTTCAGCATGGCTGGGCACAGTGGCTCACGCCTGTCATCCCAGCACTTTGGGAGGGCGAGGTGGGTGGATCACCTGAAGTCAGGACTTAGAGACCAGCCTGGCCAACATGGTGAAACCCCATCTCTACTAATAACACAAAAAGTTGCCGGGCATGATGGCAGGTACCTGTAATCCCAGCTACTAGGGAGGCTGAGGTGAGGGAATCACTTGAACCCAGACGGTGGAGGTTACAGTGAGCCAAGGTCGTGCTACTGCACTCCAGCCTGGGCAACAGAGCAAAACTCCACCTCAAAACAAAATAACCAGGAAAGGCTTCAGCAGCATCAGGAAAGGCAGGAAGAGACAAACGGGCAGAGAAAGAGCTGAGGAGCTGGTGCTGGGTCTGGGACAGGGTGGTGCCGAGTGCGATGGGGAGAGGCAGCTCTGCCCTGGAGAGGAGGGCACAGGGAAGCTGAAGTGAAGTAGGAGCAGCGTGTAGGTGGCAGGAGCAGAAGAAAAAGGATGGCAAGGCAGTGCTGGGCATCTGCCTGGGTCATGGCCAAGTACCTGTGCAGGCCCTGCAGCTGGGACTCTGCAGGGACACAGGCAGTCCTGGTCACGCAGGATCGCCCCAAGCCAAATGGACCAGCAGAACCAAGTCCAGGAACTGGTGCCTGAGAGTTCCTATTTTTGGCAAGCCCCCTAGAGGACACAGTCCCTTGCAAGTTACCTTCATTCTCCAGCGGCACGTCCCGCTCAGCTGGGTCCAGGCATCCTGGCTCCTCCCCAGAAAGGTATACAGCCATGTCCTCCAAGTTCACGGGCGCCTGCCAGAAGGCACCCCACTCAGTCCTGGCCCCAAGCAAGCTGCCTCCTCCCCAACTGAGCCCACTGGCCCAGGCAGCTGCACCGCCACTGCCCCTCGAGGCTGGGGCCAAGCCTGGTGGTGCAGCTGGTCTTCTCCACTCTTGTTGCAGTGGCGAGTCCTGGTGCCTCCTCCCACTGCTCCCACGCGCCACTGCTGCAGAGCTGGGACACCACTGCAGAAGGGACAGACTTGCCGCGAGGAGCGGTGGACCCACTGCGCACTCAGTCACTGGGGCCCAAGCTCCCCAGGGAGATGAGAGCATCCCCTGGCTCCACGGCCAGCCAGCCCTGGGACCCCGATGCGGCAGACAGGGGACTTCAGGATGCCTCTGGGCCAGTGGTTCCCAGATGTAGCACCAGACTGATCCCGAAGCATGATTAAAAACAAGCAAACCCTTTCCAGAACAGGCAAATCTACAGAGACAAGAAGGAGCTTTGTGGTTGCCAGAGGCTGAGGGAAAAACAGGCAGAGACTCTGGTAGTGAGTCTAGGGGGCTTTGCAGGGAGGTCTAAAGAAAATGTTCTTAGGCCAGGTGCGGTGGCTCACGCCTGTAGTCCCAGCACTTTAGGAGGCCATGGCAGGAGGATCACCTGAGGTCAGGAGTTGGAGACTAGCCTGACCAACATAGAGAAACCCCATCTCTACCAAAAATACAAAATTAGGCCAGGCGCAGTGGTTCACGCATGTAATCTCAGCACTCTGGGATGCCGAGGCGGGCAGATCATGAGGTCAGGAGATCGAGACCATCCTGGCTAACACAGTGAAACCCTGTCTCTACTAAAAAATACAAAAAATTAGCCGGGTGTGGTGGTGGGCGCCTGTTGTCCCAGCTACTTGGGAGGCTGAGGCAGGAGAATCACTTGAACTCGGGAGCCAGAGGTTGCAGTAAGCCGAGATCGCACCATTGCATTCCAGCCTGGGCGACAAGAGCAAAACTCCATCTCAAAAAAACAAAAACAAAACAAAACAAAACAAAAAATATATATATATACGCACACACGTATATATATAAATTATAAACAAATAAATAAAAATAAAAATCAAACAGGCCAGGCACAGTGGCTTATGCCTGTAATCCCAGTGCTTTGGGAGGTTGAGGCAAGAGGATCACTTGAGCCCAGGAGTTCAAGACCAGCCTGGGCAGCATAGGGAGACTGTGTCCCTATAAAAAATAAAAAAACCAACTAGCCGGGTTTGGTGGTACATGCCTGTAGTCCCAGCTAACTAAGGAGGCTGAGGCAGGAGGATCCCTTGAGCCCAAGAGGTCAAGGCTGCAGTGAGCCATGATCATACCACCGCACTCCAGTGTGAACACAGAGTCAGACTTTGGCTCAAAAAAAGAAAAAACAAAAACAAAAGCGAGCAAGCAAACAGAGGAGACACCCATTCCAGCCCAGGGGTGTCGAGGAACCTGTATCTCCCCCAGGAGTCCCAAGAGATCCCTGTGCCCAGCGGGGTACAAGTCACCACCCTGTCTCACTGTTGGACCACAGAATCTTCCGGGCACAGCCGAGCACTTAAATGGCCTCTGGAGAGAAGAAAAGACTTCCCAGGAGGCCAGGAGAAGTGACTGCAGGGCTGGAGCAAAGGGAGGAAACTCCAGGGAAGAGCTCCTCTGACATCCAAAACCTTGGCCCCCAGGAGAGGCGTCCCCTTAACAAGGAAGTGTGACACACAGGAGATCGGGTCAGACCCAGGGGTGCTGCAGACCAGGAGCATCCCACTCACCTGGGACCAGGCCGAAAGGAAGGGCGAGGCTGACGCCATCTCCTGATGCCGGGGGGCCGGAGGGCCTGGGAACGAGCGGAGTCATCACTAGTCACACAGCTCACCCAGCACCGCCCCTGCCGCCCCCTGCACACCAAGGCCCCCACAGCCCAGTGGCTGCCCACCCCACTCCTTGCTGGAGAGTCTGTGCACCCCACATCCAGGCAGGCCTCTGCCCTGGCCACACGCCACACCCCATTCGCCTTCACCCCCTCCCCTGCACCACTTCTCCTTCCTCCAAAGGGGTGCTACTCACCCCTCTCTGGCCACAACAGTGGGCCCCTCTGTGGCCTGTGGCTCAGCTGGGCTGGGGGCTGCTGGCTGGGGCATCGAGCCTCTTCCTCCAGGGACAGATCCTCTGGCTGAGCCTCTGCCTGGCGTTTTAAGGACTGTCCCTCCATTCTGAGGGGCACCTCGTCATCAAAAAGCAGCTCTGAGCCCTGCACACAGACAGAGATCTTGCCCACCAGCTCCCAGAAGGCCAGAAGGAAAATCCCCACAGGGCCCCACACCCCTCGCCTCAGGCACCCCAGCCGGCTGCCCACCCCCAGGCTGTCTGCAGCCTCCCTCCCTCTGCCCAGCCATGTGGCAGTGCTCCCTGCAGCCAGCTCCCAGCCTGCTCTCCATGGTCTCTCCCTGTCACCACAATCATGTCCCCATCACATTCTTACCCTCCATTCCTTGGTCCTCCTGATAGACCCTGGGCCAGAAGAGCCCTGAGTCAGCCCTGGCCTCATTTCACTTCACATAACTGCATTTGCTAGATTTTTTGAAATTATCTGGCCAGCCGCAGTGGCTCACACCTGTAATTCCAGCACTTTGGGAGGCCGAGGTGGGTGGATCACTTGAGGCCAGGAGTTCAAGACCAGCCTGACCAATATGGTAAAACTCCATCTCTACTAAAAATACAAAAATTAGCCGGGCATGGGGGCAGCAGGCCTGTAATCTCAGGTACTTGGGAGGCTGAGGCAGCAGAATCACTTGAACCCGGGAGGTAGAGGTTGCAGTGAGCCAAGATCATGCCAGTGCACTCCAGCCTGGGTAACAGAGCAAGACTGTCTCACGGGGAAAAAAAAAAAAAAAAAAAACGAAATTATCAACAGGTGCTCTGAGATTATCTATTTCCTAATTCCAGGAAATGTGATTTGAATGAAATTGGGTCTTAGAATTGAGTTCTAAAATAGCACTTGGACAAGAAACATCCCTAGGCAACTGCAAACCCAGCATCAGGGACCCATCTCTGGGTTGCTCTTGTCCACCATTCCACACCTCTAAGGGAGGGTAGTCCTCTTGGGGAGCAGAGCCCGCCCCTCTCAGCTCAGTCATGGCCATGAGGCATGTGTGCAGAGGTGCCAGTGCAGTGACAGAAGGAAGCCAAGGGGTTCTGGGAACCCCAAACACTGAAGCTGTCGTGGCCGGGAAAGAGGCTGGCCGACTGGGAAGAAATCCCAATTTCTTGGCCACCACAATGGCAGGATTTTCTGACTGCGGTCAGCTCACGCTGTGGTCAAGCATTACAGGATGCGTCTCCTCTGTTGGCTGCAAAAGGCCAGCAGTGTGCAGCCAGCAGCACTGCCACAGGAACAGAGGCAGCTGGTCAGCACTGCCCATGTGCGCCATCCACACAAGGCCCTGAAAAATGAACTGAAACAGGAGATGGCAGGACTTCTCCTTTTTAATCTCCAGGAGTTCAATGACTGAAACTGAAGCAGGAGGAATGAGTAAGAGGCTTCCCCTGCTCCCTCAAATGGGGCTGGAAGGAGGTGGAGAGACACTGTCTACAGAGATTTCGGGGTGTCAGAAGGGTCCTATCTGTGCTGTCCAGTACAGTAGCCACTGGCCATGTGTGACGACTGAGCCCTTGAGAGGTGGCCAGTGTGACTGAGGAACTAATTTAACATTCTACAAAGTGGCTGGGCGCAGTGGCTCATGCCTGTAATCCCAGTACTTTGGGAGGCCGAGACAGGCGGATCACTTGAGGCCAGGAGTTCGAGACCAGCCTAGCCAACATAATGAAACCCTGTCTCTACTAAAAATACAAAAATCAGCCTGGTGTGGTGGCGCACGCCTGTAATGCCAGCTACTTGGGAGGCTGAGGCATGAGAATCACTCCAGCCTGGGCGACAGAGAGAGACTCTGTCTCACAAAGATAAAAATAAAATAAATGTGCATAGCTATAATTTAAAAAGCTACATGTGGCTGGCAGCTACTGTTTTGCATGGCATAGTTCTAGAACCTCTGGGGGCTCTAACCAAAGTGCCCCCCATGCCCCTGGTCTTTCTTCCCAGTGTTCTCCCACTTTGAGGGTCTTTTCAACTCCCTGCCTTGGAAGGTACTGGATCTCTCTCCCACCAAAACCTGTGTTTGGGGCTGGCATAGTGGCTCATGCCTATAATCCCAGCACTTTGGGAGGCCAAGGTGGGAGGATCACTTGAGGCTAGGAGTTCAAGACCAGTCTGGGCAACATGGCAAAACCCTGTCTCTACAAAAAATACACAAAATTAGCCAGGTGTAGTGGTGCGTGCCTGTAGTCCCAACTACTCAATAGGCTGAGGTGGGAGGATCCCTTGAAGCCTGGAGGTAGAGGCTGCAATGAGCCGTGATCATGCCACTACAGGCTGGGAAACAGAGCGAGACCCTGTCTCAAAAAAAAAAAAAAAAAAAAAAGAAAAAGAAAAGAAAAAGAAACACCGGTTTGGCCTATCTTAGGACAGTGTTCACAAACCGTCTGCACTAGCTAATAAAGGGCTATCGGGGTAGGATGAGGTTAATCAAAGGGTGGACGCCCACTGGGCAAGGCTGAGAAACCTTTTGTAGTTGCCTTCTTCAAAAGGGTTCAGGGGTCAGGCAGCCACACTTAGTCACCCAATGACCAAGGAATCTCCAGCTGCAGACCCCAGCAGCAGGGCCCCATTTCCTCACCTGAGGGTCAAAATGCCCCCCACCTCACCCGCTGCCTGTGTTTCCTGGGCTCCCGCTGCAGCCCTTCCACGAGGACCACGGCCTCCTCACCACTCTCCGGCTGCTGCTCACGCACTCGAGCCTGGATCTCCCCTGGCAGCACAGTCAGGAACTGCTCCAGCACCAGCAGCTCCAGGATCTGCTCCTTAGTGCGCAGCTCCGGCCGCAGCCAGCGGCAGCACAGCTCCCAGAGGCGGCTCAGGGCCTCCCGGGGCCCAGCCACCTCCTGGTAGCAGAAGAGCCGGAAGAGCTGGCGGAAAGTCTCAGGGCTGGGGTCCTCCGACTCCACGGAGGGCTCCTCTTCCAAGCAGAAGTCCTCCTCCACCTTCACAATCAGGATCTCATCCTGTTCCAAGTCCTGCTCCAAGGTTGGCAGGGGCTGGAGGTCAGGGACGGTGGCCATTGCTTCCGGTGGGCCTTGTTCCTTTTCAGGCCTTAGAGTCGAACCTGTCTCTCTATATACCTCTGGCCAGACACAGGAAGAGCGTTTTTTTCAGGGCCCTGTGGAGAGACGATAAAACCATCTAAAGGGCAGCCCTGGGGCTGAATAAGCCCTTTGTACTGGGAAGCCAATGCCCTGGTTCCAAGGCCACGATGGAAAAGGAAAAAGGAAAAGGAAGTACATGAATGCCATCTTTGCTATGAATTCCCGGATAATTCACTGAAGGGCTCTGGGCTTTGCTTTCTCACTGGGCAAAGAGATGATAACAGGACCTACACACACAGGTTGCTAATAGAACTAAAAGGGATGGCTGGGCGCAGTGGCTCCCGCCTGTAATCCCAGCACTTTGGGAGGCTGAGGCGGACAGATCATGTGAGTTCAGGAGTTTGAGACCAGCGTGGTCAACATGGTGGAAACCCATCTCTACAAAAAATACAAAACTTAGCCCGACGTGGTGGTAGCACATCTGTAATCCCAGCAACTCGGTAGGCTGAGACAGGAGAATTGCTTGAACCCGGGGAGCTGGAGGCTGCAGTGAGCTGAGATTGCGCCACTGCACTCCAGCCTGGGAAACAGAGAGAGACTCAAAACAAAAACAACCTAAAAGGGATGTTTGCGGTCAGAGCTTGAGAATCGTTATTTTCCATGATTACAGTGGGTCTTATATGGAAAGGGTTCCTTTGGAAATCTGATGAAAAGTAGGGCCCTTCTGCCGAGGAAGGTGCAGACTGCCTCAACTTGATCCCCGGTGTCCAGGTCTGGCGAACCCTGAAGCCCCTACGCGGCCCTGTCAGGCACCCCCGAGTGGGTGGTCGCAACGGGCCCCCAATTCCAAGGTCCTGGGAGAGCTAGGACCCCCAGGCCGGAATGCTTTTTCGTCTCACCCCTCAGGTGGAGGGTGAGCAGTGCCCGAGTCCGCGGCACAGACCCCGGCGCTGGCGCGGGCCGCGAAATCGAAGCTTCGGCCGGGACCCGCGTCTTCGCGACCCCAGCACTCACTGGAAGCCCTGCGGGCCGTGGGCAGTTCGGGGCAGGACCGGAGAGACGGGTCTCGGCGGGAGTGGGACTGCCGGCCTCAGGCTCTGCAACCCGAGACGCCAGAGCCGGGGCCGAAGACCTCAAACCAGGTGTGGAAACCAGGCCGTGTGGGCGGGCCCACGGGCGGCATTGTGGGTAACGTAGCCTAGGCACCATTGCCTGAGCCGGCTGTTAAGGCGTGGCAACAAGGCCGACTGGGCGGGTCCGCGACGTGCACTGTGGTTAATGTGGTCCTCAAAGGAACGCATTGTGGGTAACGTAGTCCAGCACCTCGGTGACCGCGAGAGCGTGCGGCGACTCTGCAGCCTCTGGGCCACTCTCTCAGTCACTTTTCCACACCCGCTCTCCTCTGGCCTGAAAAAGTTCACAGTAAAGGCCGCCTCCTCCATCTTTAAAGCCAGCGAAGTCGTCCGGGCACGATGGCTCACACGTGTAATCCCAGCACTCTGGGAGGCCAAGGCGGGAGGTTCGCTTGAGGCAATCTGCCTTGTAGAGGCGAGCCTGTGTCTCAGCCCAGGCTGCTAAGCACTGAGGCTCAAATTCAGAAGAAGCGATCTTTCTTTCTTTGCTTCTCTCCTTTCATTTTCCTTCCTTCCTTCTTTTCTTTTCTTTCTTCTTTTTTTTTTTTTTTGTTTTTTGTTTTTTGTTTTTTGAGACGGAGTCTCGCTCTTGCTCTGTTGCCCAGGCTGGAATGCAATGGGGTGACCTCAGCTCACTGCAACCTCCGTCTCCCGGCTCCAAGCAATTCTCCTGCCTCAGCCTCCTGAGTAGCTGGGATTACAGGAGCGCACCACCACACTAGGCTAATTTTTGTATTTTTAGTAGAGATGGGGTTTCATCATATTGGTTAGGCTGGTCTCGAACTCCTGACCTCATGATCCACCCGCCTCAGCCTCCCAAAGTGCTGGGATTACAGGCATGAGCCACCGCGCCGGGCCGGCCTTCCTTCCTTCCTTCCTTTCCCTTCTTTCCTTCCTTCCTTTCCCTTCTTTCCTTCCTTCCTTCCTTCCTTCCTTCCTTCCTTCCTTCCTTCCTTCCTTCCTTCCTTCTTTCTTTCCTTCCTTCATTTCTTTCCTTCTTTCTCCTCCCTCCCTCCCTCCCTCCCTTCCTTCCTTCCTTCCTTCCCTCTCTCTCTTTCTTCCTTTCCTTTTTTCTTGAGACAGAGTTTCGCTCTTGTTGCCCAGGCTGGAGTACAATGGCACTATCTCGGCTCACTGCAACGTCCACTTCCCAGGTTCAAGCGATTCTCCTGCCTCAGCCTCCCAAGTAGCTGGGATTACGGACACCCGCTACCATGTGCAGCTAATTTTTGTATTTTTAGTAGAGACGGGATTTCACCATATTGGCCAGGCTGGTCTCGAACTCCTGACCTAAGGTGATCCACCCACCTTGGCCTCCCAAAGTGCTGGGATTACAGGCATGAGCCACCGCGTCCGGCCCACCCGGCTAATTTTTGCATTTTTTGTAGAGAAGGGGTTTTGCCATGTTGGTCAGGCTGGTCTCGAACTCCTGAGCTCAAGTGATCCGCCTGCCTCGGCCTCCCAAACTGCTGGGATCACATGTATGAGCCACTGCACCTGACTAACATGGTGAAACCCCGATTCTACAAAAAATTAGCCAGTGTGGTGCTAGGCCCCTGTCATCCCAGCTACTCGTAAGGCTAAGGCAGGAGAATCGCTTGAACCCGGGAGGCGGAGGTTGCAATGAGCCGAGATCGTGCCACTGCATCTATCCTGGGCAACAGAGGGAGACTCTGTCACAAAACATACAATAAATAAATAGGCCGGGCGTGGTGACTTACGCCTGTAATCCCAGCACTTTAGGAGGCTGAGGCGGGCGGATTGCCTGAGGTCGGGAGTTCGAGTCCAGCCTGACCAACGTGGAGAAACCCCTATCTCTACTAAAAATACAAAATTAGCTGGGCGTGGTGGTGCATGCCTGTAATCCTAGCTACTCAGGAGGCTGAGGCAGAATTGCTTGAACCTGGGAGGTGGAAGTTGCAGAGAGCCGAGATCGTGCCATTGCACTCCAGCCTGGCCAACAAGGGCGAAACTCCACCTCAAAAAATAAATAAATAAATAAATAAATAAAGGCAGAAGTTCTTCAAGATAAAACTGGAAGAAGCCGGGCGCGGTGGCTCAAGCCTGTAATCCCAGCACTTTGGGAGGCCGAGACGGGCGGATCACGAGGTCAGGAGATCAAGACCATCCTGGCGAACACGGTGAAACCCCGTCTCTACTAAAAATACAAAAAATTAGCCGGGCGAGGTGGCGGGCGCCTGTAGTCCCAGCTACACGGGAAGCTGAGGCAGGAGAATGGCGTAAACCCGGGAGGCGGAACTTGCAGTGAGCTGAGATCCGGCCACTGCACTCCAGCCCGGGCGACAGAGCGAGACTTCGTCTCAAAAAAAAAAAAAAAAACTGGAAGAGATGCCAAGTGTTTGTGCCCACACTCCCCGAGGAGGGCCCCCAACAATGCCTAATCCCAAACATCCCTTGTCCTGCCTGCTTCTTTGTGACAACATAATAATGGGCATCAATTTATTTTTTATTTTTTTGTTGGAGATGAAGTCCCACCATGGTGCCTAGGCTGGTCTAAAACAATTAGACCAAGCAATTGGTCTAATTGCCCAAGCAATCTTCCCGCCTCAACTTCCCAAAGTGTCGGGATTACAGGTGTGCCCAGCCAGGTATCAGTTCTTGTATTTATTTATTTATTTATTTATTTATTTTTGAGACGGAGTCTGGCTCTGCCGCCCAGGCTGGAGTGCAGTGGCTGGATCTCAGCTCACTGCAAGCTCCGCCTCCCGGGTTTAAGCCATTCTCCTGCCTCAGCCTCCCGAGTAGCTGGGACCACAGGCGCCCGCCACGTCGCCCGGCTAGTTTTTTGTATTTTTTAGTAGAGACAGGGTTTCACCATGTTAGCCAGGATGGTCTTGATCTCCTGACCTCGTCTTTGGGAGGCCCGTCTCGGCCTCCCAAAGTGCTGGGATTACAGGCTTGAGCCACCGCGCCCGGCATTTTTTTTTTTTTTTTTTTTGAGAGACAGGTTCTCACTGTGTCGCCCAGGCTGGAGTGCAGTGGCTCGATCTTGGCTCACTGCAACCTCCACATCCTGGTTTTAAGCAGTTCTCTTACCTAACCTCCCGAATAGTTGAGATTACAGGCACACACCACCAGGTTCGGTTAATTTTTGTATTTTCAGTAGAGATGGGGTTTTGCCGTGTTGCCTAGGCTGGTCTCCAACTCCTGGCCTCAAGCAATCCACCCACGTCGGCCTCCCAAAGTGCTGAGATTACAGGAGTGAGCCACCACTCCCGGCCGCATCAGTTCTTGAGCACCAAGCAATACACATTTGTACTTCGTTTCTTCCCCATTTAGCAATAGAGGTACTATAACTTGCCCTACGGGTTCAACAGAACAAAACAAAACCCTGAAGCTCTGAGAATTTTAAGTATTGAACCCCTCAGGGAAGGTCAAACAGGAAGTACAGAAATGGAGTTAGAACCCAAATCTTTTTTTTTTTTTTTTTTTTTTTTTGAGACGGAGCCTCCCTCTGTCTCCCAGGCTGGAGTGCAGTGGCCGGATCTCAGCTCACTGCAAGCTCCGCCTCCCGGGTTTACGCCATTCTCCTGCCTCAGCCGCCCGAGTAGCTGGGACTACAGGCGCCCGCCACCTCGCCGGCTAGTTTTTTGTATTTTTTAGTAGAGACGGGGTTTCACCGGGTTAGCCAGGATGGTCTCGATCTCCTGACCTTGTGATCCACCTGTCTCGGCCTCCCAAAGTGCTGGGATTACAGGCTTGAGCCACCGCGCCCGGCCTTTTTTTTTTTTTTTTTTTTGAGACGGAGTCTCGCTCTGTCGCCCAGACTGGAGTGCAGTGGTGCGATCTCGGCTCACTGCAGGCTCCGCTTCCCAAGTTCACGCCATGCTCCTGCCTCAGCCTCCCAATCAGCTGGGACTACAGGTGCCCGCCACCACGCTCGGTTAATTTTTTGTATTTTTAGTAGAGACGGGGTTTCACCTGTTAGCCAGGATGGTCTCTTTCTCCTGATCTCGTGATCCGCCCGCCTCGGCCTCCCAAAGTGCTGGGATTACAAGCATCAGCCACCGCGCCCGGCCTGACCCCAAATCTTTGATTCCAGAACTTCAGCTCCTAATTACTAGGTTAATGTACTCTGGCCCCTAATCCTAACTCGGGCATCCTAAGGCCGGTCTCCTATACTGGATTCTCGCTGCTTTTCCTCTTTGGTTGAACACGATGCGGAGTTTCCCTCTGCCTGGGGTGCCCAGGAAAGCGCCCCAGCTCCCAGTTTGGGTGAGCAACGCAGCAAGCACAGTAGGCGTACACTCAACGTACACCGCCCCGTACAAGCCCCGCCCCCCCATGCGCGCCCCGCCTCGCATGCCGGATCTACTCCCGGAATCTCGCGCGTCTTTCCCAAAGCATCTGCTAGGACTGAGCCTGCCGGAAACGAAAGTTGGGGAGGCCAGATTCAGGGAGCTGGCGGGAGTACATTTCCCAGAGCGCCCTGCGCCCTCCCTGGTGGCAGAATCTTGGGAGCTCTAGAGGGGGTGGGTTGGTGGCCTGGAGGTTCTCGTCTAGTGGCGGCACTGCCAGGGGCTCGGAGGAAGGGGCTGCAGTCTCCCGGTGGCAGCGTAGTCCCCAGCTACCTGGGAGGCTGAGGCAGGAGAATGACTTGAACCCAGGAGGCAGAGGTTGCAGGGAGCCGAGATCGTGCCATTGCCCTCCAGCCTGGGCAACAAGAGCAAAACTCCAACTCAAAAAAAAAAAAAAAAAAAAAAAAAAAAACTCCGTCTCAGAAACAACAACGACCACAAAAACTTGGTTGGTAGCAGTGGTAATCCCAGTGTTTTTGGAGGCTGAGGTAGGAGGGTTGCCTGAGGTCAAAGACCAGCCTGAGCAACCTAGTAAGGCCTTATCTCTACAAAAAAATTGTAAAAATCAGCCCACCAAGGTGGTGTCATGCCTGTAGTCTTGGCTACTCGAGAGGCTGAGGCAGGAGGATCGCTTGAGCCCAGGAACTTGAGGCTGCAGTAAGTCATGATCGCGCTACTGTACTCCAGCCTGGACAACAGAGTGAGACCCAGTCTTTTTATTTGTGGATAACTCAAAGAAGTCATTTACAAAATGCCTTT